GCTGGAACAAGGGAACTGGTCCCCTTGCTTCTTTTTTTTTTTTTTTGGTACCGGGAATCAAACTCATGACCTCAGGCTTGCCAGGCAAGCACTTATGCCGCTGAGCTATATCCCCAGCCCACTATAGAATTACTAAGAGAACAAACACCAAGAAAACTTTAGAACTCCCTGGCACACTGGACCCCTTCTCTATATAGCTGTATTGCCTAATAATGCAGAACTGGACCAAACCAAGAAACACCGGGAAGCACAGCTGTCCAGGGAACAGGCTTAGTCAGACTTCGACTTTGGAGAACCGCATATGCTGTAGCATGTTAAATTATACTGGTTTCCATAGTATGCAAGTAACACTACCTACCCTGTATTGTTTGGTGATTCTGTCAATGAAAGAAGTCATTAGTAGTTTCTGGCATACAGAAAGCCCTCAAGGTTAGGCATGGTGGTGCATACCTGTAATCCCAGCACTCTGGGAGGTTGAGGCAGGAAAATCAAATATTCAAGCCTAGGCTGGGAAACTCCGTGAGACTCTATCTCAAAATAAAAAATGGCCTGAGGCACAAGAGCCAAGTAGGATCTTACTGTAAGTTAGAGGGAGTTCTGCCCTGATTGTGAAGAATGAACTGCTGTTGGATCTGACTGACCATCGACGGATTGTTGTGTGGTGTATCTGGAGGCTATTGAATGCAACTTACAATTATTAATAAAAATCTTTATTCTTTTGATATAAAAAAAATGGGCTGGGGATGTAGCTCCGTGTGAAGGCTGTGGGTTCAATACGCAGTACTGTGAAAAGAGGCAAAAAGTCCTCAAATGGCAGCTACTTATATTCTTGGTCCCAGTTCTGCCACTATCCCTGGGGAAGTCATTCTACTTGAACTTTAGTGTCCTCCAAACAGGGCCTCCTCTGGCTCTGAAGTCCGTGATTCACGCACCCTTCATTTGGGATGGTCAGGGCTCTGACCGGCACGTGCAACCTCAAGGGGTCACTTGGGGCCAGTTCTTCCAGTTCTCATTCCAGCTCTTCTCCATGAAGCAGGAAGTACATGTCCATCACTCCTGTCCTGTGCACCCATTTCCCTCCCTTTGCAACCAGGGTTATAAAGAAAGGTTAGGTGTACAGCATGCTTGGAATTCAGCCAGAGGTACACATTCAAACAGGTGTCAGCCTGGCCAGCAGCCAACAGCAGCTCAACCACTGAATTCCTGAACTGACCATGGGGCACCATCAACCCCTCTCCCTCCCATTTTTTCCCCAGTGCTAGGAACAGAACCCAGGGCCTTTAAAATGAGCTATTTCCCTAGCTCATTTTTAATTTTTTATTTTGAGACAAAGTCTTGCTAAATCACCATGTGTCCTAGGCTGGGCTCAAACCTGTGATCCTCCTGCCTCAGGCTCCACACCCAGCCAATCCCCTTCTTGTCACTTTCCTGGAGACGCTTGTGAAAAAAAATTTTTTTTTCTCTTCATTTACATGTTTTAAAATAACTGAAATTGTCTTGTTGGGATTTCTTTAAAATCTTCAAATAAGCCAACCAGCCTTAATTCCAGCAACTTAGGGTCTAAAAATAAAGAATTCTGTTTGCACAGCAAAACCCAAACATGCTGGTATTGTTTACTCTAGGTTTCACTGGCTATTGTAAAATAAACAATTTAAGTATCAGATAAAGTGCAACAGGGCCTTCTCCATCTGCAGAGCGTGGCATGGTGCCTCTTCAGGCAGGCACATTGGTGGGGGCCAATTTCCACTGGCTTGTGAGGGACTGATCACCCAAAGCTGTAGAGCTATACTGTCCTAGCATGAGGTACACAGGTGGCCTGGGCTTTTGTTTTATTTTTTGAGACAAGATCTTGCTATGCAGTTCAGGCTGGCCTTGAACTCACTTTATAGCCCAGGCTTGCCTCGCATGCCCAGCAATCCTCCTGCCTCGGCCTCCCAAGTGCTGGGATTTCAAGTGTGTGCCACCATGCTGAGCTAGGCCTGGGCTTTTTAAAAAGCGAAAGGCATTAAGAGAGATAGTTTTATTAGGGCATGTAATTTTGAAGTTTTGTTTTTATTTTATAATCATATAAAACATTTGCCTGGCTCCAAAATCCATTGTACAAAACAGGGTAGGTACATTCAGAGATACCTAGTTTCCATCCCTGCCCCATTCCACCTTTTCTTCCTTTTCCTCCCTCTCTCCCCATTAAGATAACTTCAACTAGTTTTTGGCTTATGCTTCCACTTTTCAATATAAGTGATAAGTGGTAAGTATTGTAGGAATAGCAGCGTGTCTATACATGTTCAAACCCATCCTCCTGTACATAAAGGGTAGCATACAGTTCCCATTGTTCTTATTCTAGTGTGGCCCAACAGAAGCTTCTGAGATGATACTAGAATCAAATTTTAGTTTAATTTTAATTTATATAAACTTATGGTCCCATGTAGCTAATGGCTCCTGAATGGGTCAGTGCAGTGCTAGATATTTCAAATCAGAATATAGAGCTGGTCCTCATTCCTTTTGGGAGCCATAGGGAACTTAATTGCAAAGAAACACTAATTTATTCACCACCTTCTACTGATGGATATGGAGCTCTCTCTAGGTTTTTGCTATTGTAATCAGTGCTGAAACAAATAGCCTACTGCATACATCTACTTATATTTTTGCAAGTGTGTTCTGGGGATAGACACAGAGAAGAGGAATTATTAGGTCAATGGACAGCAACTGAAATTTTGCTAGATACTAACAAACTCCCCTCCAAAAGTTATCATTTGCATAAAGATTTTTTTTTGAAGTCAGTATGCTCACTACATTTTGGTTTGTTTTATTTTTTCTGAGAACAAATCCCATGTGTATAAAAGAATAATTCTGCAGCTTTCTTACTATCTTACAGATGCTTGGGGAAAGAAATAAACAAAACGGCAAAGAACAGTTGCCAGGAGGAGGGTGCTGGGTGCCAGGAGGAAGGTGCTGGGTGCCAGGAGGTGGGGAGAATGGGGAGTTCTTGCTAAAGAGTTTCTGTTTGGGGAAAGGACAGGGGCATTCATACAACATTAAGAATATCCTTGATGCCACTGAATTGTACACTTAAAAATGGTTAAGATAATAAATTATTTTATGTATAATTTTATCACAATCCAAAAAAAAAAGCTAATGATTCTAAAATCCTTAACACCTAAAATCAAAAGGAAGGGATAAGCAGTAGCTGTACTGGGTCACGTAGTGACACTATGATGGGGCATTAGTGAGCTCTTCCAGGTCAGGTTCTCATAAGTGGGGATTTTGGCCCCAGTGTTGGCAACTTTTAAAAAACTGTGGTAAAACATAAATTTGCCATCTTACTTTTTAAATGTATGATTCAGGGGCTGGGGATTTAGCTCAGCGGCAAAAGCGCCTGCCTGGCAAGCGCAAGGTCGTGAGTTCGGTTCCTGGTACCGGAGAAAAACCAAAAAATAAATAAATAAATAAATAAATAAATAAATAAATGTGTGATTCAGTAGCATTAAATACATTTGCAAAGGTGTACAACCCTTACCACTCTCTTTCCAACACTCTGATCCCCCCAAACAGAAAGTGGCCAAGAAGCAGTAATTCCCTACTGTCCCCTTTTGTGAATGTCATGACTACTTGGAGTGTGTGTGCAGGGTGCTACTAGTAGCTAGGGATGCTACTCAGTATGCTATTGTCACCAGGCTGGGTCTGAGGGTCCCTGAGGCTGAAGCAAGGAACCTAGCCTCAGCCTCTTGTTCACTGGCTCCCATCGCAGAGAAAGATTTTTCAGGATGGTCAGTAAAAGGCTTGGGAAGGGTTTATCAGAGTTGTAGAACACGTTCAAGAGGGGAGTGTGGGTGTTCAGAAAAATGAGAGGCATTATAGTTTGCAACTAGGAACATTTATGCCTCTCTTGAAAGGATGGAAAAGCATGGGAAAATGTGCCCCCTCAACAGTATTTGCCCATTTTTCAAATACAGACTTTTTAAAAAATAGGAAATTTGAATATTTTGGGGGATTCACACAACCTGCTCCTTTATCTTAGGATCAGGCTTCTGTACTTTACTTTCCCAACTAAGCCAATTTATGGACTTTTATTATTCTTAAGGAATTTTGGGTTGGTGGAGCTTGTAGGGGAAGAGTTTAAATTTAACCAAAGCAGTGGTGATATGCATTGCCTTTGGTAACTGCAGCTGGTTCCTGCAAAGATGCAGTCTTTAAAGTACAATTTTTTTAAGTTATGATTTCCTTGTCCTCTATTTTACCCATTTTTGTTTCTTTTATCTTACCTCACTACAATGCATGGACATCCCCCTGAAACAAAGCATGACCCCACCCCAAATGCCAGCAGTGGTGAGGTTGAGAAATCATTCCTCTCTGGGTTGATCCCGACATCCGGGGACAGGAACTGATCACACTGCCCAGGTGCTACTGTAATGAGGAGAATTGAGCAAGATCAGGAAGGCCTTCAACACATCCTCATATGCACCAGAGGCCTCCAACAGATTCTTCAGCTGCTATTCCTTCCCGCAGGACTCTTCAGCTACGCCAAGATCGCCACCACTGATGCCTGGGTCATCAAAAGGATGCCAGAGATGAGATCACAGCAGAAGTTGCCTCTTTGGAACTAAAGCACATCGGGAATGGCAGCTGGCAAGAATGAAACTCATGAGGAGTGCAGAACCTCCTGGTAGGATGAGCTTAGCCTGTGGACTCCCACACTAAGAAGCCTGGCGTGGGATTACAAATCCAAGGCCAATCTGGGCAACTCAGGGAAACCCTGTCTCAGAATAAAATTAAAAATGCTAGAGTTCACCCTGAGTTCAATCTTCTTTTCCACAAAGCAATAAAAACAAAAGCAGATGCCAAGAAATGCTGGGTGCTGTGGCACACGAATATAATTCTAGCTATTTGGAAGGATAAGGCAAGAGGTCTGTGCATTCAAGGCCAGCCTAGGCAACACAGCTAAACCTCATCTAGAAAGAAAAAGAAAGAAAAGAAGTCAGAAATAGCTAGACAACTGCAAAGCAAAGCACATCCTTAAATGAGGACAGGCAGCACTTTGAGGCAGCAGGCTACAGCTCCACCAAACTGTGATTGGGACAGAGACAAAAAACTAAATGATTCAACAATAGATACAGTAGGATAGGGGTAGATTCTAGAGCAAGTACACAGGGGGAGAAATCCTGTATAGTTCAAAATCACCCTAAAAATTCCTTAGGAAGCAAACTTAATGAACTCACAACAGGTCCAGTACAGTATCTCCTCCAGCTTTGCTGAAGCTCAGGTGAGCACCAGGAAAGTGATCAGCTTAAATTCAAGCCATACTTTACAACTATCATGCACCTCACTCAGGACGCCTCACTCTGAAAGGTCCATAGAACGCGAGCCAAGGGAGGGGCTGGCAGGTTCACAAGCCATTGTGCCCACCCAGGGATAAATGCCACTCGAGTGGAAAGACAGAAAGAATCACCTGAGCCACTTCATTGTCCTTCCTACCTCTGCCTTCTCCTTCACTTGCCCCAACTCCAAAAGCATGAGGCTGAATGAATAAAGGCATATACAATAGGTCTACCCACTATTTACTGAGCACCCCTTATGTGTTAGAAGCCCTGAATGATTCTGTGTAGTCTATCCGAGAGCCATCCATTCAGGCCGCAATGTCAGGATTAGGTCCTCCCATGTTCCAAGTGACCCTGTCTTCCTGAGCCTGTATCCTGATCCTTGCAGAGTCACACCTGAAAATGCAGGTTGGTACTTGATCCTTTTCAGGGAAGGCAAATAAAGGTGTGACCCTGCTCCAGCACAGCCTGGTCCTCTCTGTGGGTCATTTCATGGGGTCCTTTACATGAAATTGAAAGTACTTCATTCACCCACCAAAGACTCCCATATATTCTCTGCTTCAGGTACAAAATAATCTGTTTCTGCCTTCCTCAGGTAGAATGCAAAAGGCATGCAAATTTACAAAACCTAAAGTCCAGAACCTGTGTCCTCTAGGAGTCATGGACACCTTCCTACTAGATGGGTTGGGGAAGGTCTCTGCTAGTTTAATAATGCCTCCTCCTCTTAAAACTGACCTCCCCTCCAGTCTTCCCTACAAGGGTACTGTCAAGCACTGTCATCATTTTCCTATTTAGAAAACATGAATATGGAACTCAAAAATCCAAATCTTTAAGAAACTGTTAACAACCTGGAGCCAGCTGCAAACTATACAAATACCAATTGCCGCTCACAGCAGGGAAGCTGTGTAGAGTAGGGATTAACAGTGTGAGTCTTGGAATCACGCGCATACTTGGGCTCGAGCCTCATACTCTGATCTTGGGCAAGTTACTTAACTCCTCTGTGCCTGATCTGTCTTTAATCATGGCCTCCTCCCAGGGTCAGAAGGGTAAAATGAGACAATCCAGCTAAAGCAAGAAAACTCACACTGCAAAGTGCTCAGTCATATCATTCTGGAGTATATTTGTGAGCTGAATACAGATGCACAAAGACTTCTCATTTCATCTGCGAAGCAACCTGAGATGTGCGCCTTCGTGGTCCAAGCTGTTACAGGTAATGGATTTCAAAGGCTGTGACCACAGGGACACAGCCACTCCTGCGTACATAAGAATAGCTTTCCAGGACGATAGCACCCCATGGCCACCAGCCTAGCCTTCTGTTATATCCCACCATAAGCCTCTGTCTGCCTGAGGATGAGCTCCGTAAGGACAGGGACAGCTCCTTCTCTCCATAGGGCACAAGCAGAACATGGTGGCTAAGAGACTGCCTTAGGCTGAGCCCCAGCTCCACTGCTCCCTATCTGTACGACTTAGCAACTTAGCTTCTCTATGCCTCAGTTCTATCATTTGTGAAGTGCAGATAATATCTGCACTTACTTTACGATTACTTAGGATAATATCTGGCAGAGAGGAAGTAAGATTATTTATTTGCTTACAGAAGCGATAGTCTCTGGGACCTCAAATCCCAGCATGTCTCAAATCCAACTCATATCTACAACCTTTGGCTTCAGCAGTACTCTCCTTCCTGTATTGCAGTTTAGTAGCATAGAGGCCTACTCCAGCTAACAAAATCTCAACTCTCCTCATTCTTCCTTTACCTCCCTCTCCTGTTCCCTCTCCTCCAGTGCATCTAATCACCAATTCCTATCAACTCTGCCTACCTGTGCTGTCCTAGCACAGACCTTCTACTCCTACATAGATACTTCTGGCCTCCTCTGTACAGCCTCGCTGGACACCAGTCTCACTCCTCTCAAACCCGTCCCCTTCCATACACCTGCAAGAATTACTACTCAGGACACCAATCTGATCATGGCCCCTCCTTACTAAACCTTCAATAGCTCCGTATTTCCCCTTCAGTAGAGTGCAGAGCCCTTATCTCCTGCCTCAAGCTCCTCTCCTACCAGTAACTTTCATGCACTTTCTGCTCCAGCTGTGGAGAACATGGCTGCCTCCAGTCTGGCCCCTACCCACCGGGCAAGCTCCATGCATCCTCTGGATCCAACCTCTGGATCCAGCTCCAAGGCCACCGCCACTCCTGAGACTTTCTTTCAGCTCCTCTTCACTGCCAGTGGCAACCTTGTCACGCCTTCCCACCAGCAAACTGTCCACTCTGAAGCATAGACAAGGACCATGCCTTCCCTTGTGGCCCCATCTGTGGTAGTGATACACAGTGGGCACTGAATAAGCAAGGAACTTGGCATGTTAGATACACTGAAAATATGATTTGATTTTAAAGTAATGTACCACTTTTCTCAGTTAAAACTGCCCAGGGTCCTAATGTACAATCTGGGAGAGAAGAGTGTGTTAACAAGATTAGAACACAACAGTGTAAGCGGTCTGTCCAGGAATGAACATCACAAAATGCCCATGGCACAAGAGAAAGGAAAAGCGAGTCCAGCCTTTACGCCTCCTAAAGCCAGCAGTTTACAGTTTTTCCATCTGGTCTCTAGCTCCAGTGCCCCATCACTAACATTAAAGTTTGGGGTGGGGCAATTCATGTCTCTGCCTTTTATGGAAACCTATTCTTACTCATCCACAGGCTCAAGTTTGCCTCCTGGAGGACAGCTTTAGGAACTCAAACCTACACGGGCAACTGGGCCATTTCCATCTTTTTCAACCTTTTTATGAACCCATAAGTGAAATGTCTGCAGCTTCAAAAGGACTTTAAATCCACCCAAAGCACCACAAGGGTGATACCAGCCTAGCCAAAGCCAGCATCTTCTCCTACTACAACCCCATCAGTCAGGCAAAGAACCGCCATCATTGTTCTTGATGTACAGGTGCCTTCACCCGCAGTCCAGGGTGGCCTTCCAAGTCTTTCAGCGGCCTGGGGCTTTGCTTGCAGCGTCCCTGGGACAGCCTGAAGGCCGGGAAACTGAGCACTGCCAGTCTCAACAAGTGAGCAGACCTTGGCTCCACACTAAAGAAACTGGTGCCACACCCACTTTTGTGTTGCATTCCTCCTCCCTGATGCCCAGCACCCTGCTGGCAGTTGGGCAAGACCTCCTGCTGTACCTCTACTATGCCACACTAAGATAGCAGGACAAAACCCACTGTGAATAGAGACCCATCTAATGCAGGGGTGTTTGCCTTAGGAGGTCACTGTTACCTGTAACACCCCCAGCTTATGAAAACAACTCCCCTCTCCCCAAGGAGAACTTTCCCGTCAGTCTGGCAGTAGGCAAAGGGACAGGGCTGTTACTTTGCCACGCCTGTGTTAACCTGCTTTCTACAATATACAACACATGGAAGTAAAATAAATTAGCAATAGTTGATTCCCAATGCACCACAGTTGTCTTCGGGGCCCATCTTTGAGGAATTTTTCTCTAGATCAGATGCTCTTCTGAAATGTGTCCAAGAAGCTGCTGAAAGTGGAATCTCATATTGGCTGAGGCTCGGGATAATTTTGCAATCCAGTTTGATTTTAACTGACATTTGTAACCACATTACCTCTGGTCCCTCCTCCAGGGATAATATTTGGAGTTGGAACTAACGCACAATTAGCACCCCTGGGAGCTGAAACTCCTCCCACTTTCCCCTGTCGCCAGAGCGACCGAGGGGATCCGGGATCCAAGGGAGACCGGCAGAATGGGGCGAGTGGAGAACCTTGGGTCCACGAAGGCAGGGCGCCCAGGATGGAGGAAGTGGGCCCGGCCCGCCTCCCGGCAGCCCTCAATCTCACTCGTGAGGAGGGTCTCCGGTCCGATCCGGCGCCGAGGCGGACCCCAGGGCCCGGCGGGGCCGCTCACCTCTCGCGCCGAGCGGAGCTGCTGGCGCAGCGCGTCCTTGCAGCCGTAGGGGCCGCCCGCACCGGCACCGCGGGGCTGGAAGTGCGCCTCGACGCGCGTGGCGCCGCGGTAGGCGCCCTGGTAGAAGGCCGGCCAGCCGAGCTCCAGCAGCGGCGGCTCCAGGTCGGACTGCTCCGGGAAGTAGGTGCCGGACGAGCAGTCGTGCGAGGAGCCGAAAGAGTCCTCGGCTACTGCCGCCGCCGCCGCCGCGCCCTCCTCCCTGGGCTGCTGGGCCGAGTGCAGCACGGCGCACACCTCGTCGGGGTTCAGAAAGCGACCCAGGCGCTCGCGCCGCAGGAAAGCCGTGAAGGCCTCGGGGCCGCCGGCCACCAGCTCCTCCAGGGCCAGGCGCCGCTCCTCGCTGAACAGCTCGGCTGGATTGGGCGGCCCACATGGCGACAGACAGAAGGCGGGTAGCTCGTCCAGGACCTCTGGCCGCAGAGCCATCGTGGGGGTGCGACCCGACCGAGCTCTGGCACTGCAGCCGAGCTGACCACTTTATACGAACCTTTGAATCAAACCGGCCCGCGCCATTGGCCACGCCGCTCTCCCTCGGCTCTCCGATTGGCTGCCTGCCTCCCAACGGCGGGGCGAAGTTGTTGAAACGGCCCTCCGCAGGACACGCCCCCTGATTGCTATTGGCTGCCCCGACTCCGCTCACCAAATTGGGTACGAGTATCGCGGCCCTCACTACACTGGGTTGTCTGGAGAATTTCAACTTTGGTGGCTCTCTGCCGGCTTTAGCCATTACTGCTCCGGGCCTGCTGGAAAACGAGCTCTGCGCAGTCAGGCTAGAGAGAGCAGATGGGCCTGCGGGGCGGTGCAGGCCGGGGCGACGAAGCTCCGACCGCAGGACCCTTGGCCATTCCTGTGCGCCCTCTGCCGGCTGCCCCACCGCGCGGCCCCGTGAGGCCGGGGCGGGTCAGGTGTAGGCAGGGCTGGACAGGCTGGCGCTTGTTCCTGGGCACATTGACTCTTTTCCCGAGCTCTGAGAGCTTGAGTGTGACCAACTATTTTGTCTTTATCTCCTACATGCAACTGTTCGTTCGTTAAAAAAATACTGGTCCATCGTGATAGTCACTTCAGTTAGACCTTCTCTCTTTTCTCAGTCTTTTTTCCGTTTGTTTGTTTGTTTGTTTGTTTGTTTTTGAGACAGGGTCTCGCTATGCAGTTCAGGCTGATCTTGTGCTCACTTTGTAGCCCAGGCTGGTCTCGAACTCCCAACGATCCTCCTCCCTCAGCCTCCCGAGTGTGGGATTACAGGCGTGCACCACCACACCCGGCCCTTCGTCGTTTTTTCTGGCGCCATCACTGCTACTTTGGGAGACATTTGCTTTGGCTGAAGCCTGCTTCAGTTGTGACCTATCCCGGATGACTCCGCCCTGCAGTCCCCCTCAATTAGGTCCACAAAGAACCCCTCTCCTATTCATGACCAAACAGAAAGATAGGACACTGTGCATAAACAAGCCCACCTTTTTTTTTCTATGTAAGCAACCTCCCCATACCCTCAGCAGCTTCATTCTATGCACTGTCCCCATTAAGCTAGAGCATTAAGTGCGATTAAAGCCTCTTTCAGATGACATAGTTTTTTGGTTTTTATTATGTGTGATTTCTCTCTCAAGAGCGGGTCACATCAAAGAGTACTGGCTATGAAAGCAGCCAGCAGCTGGGGCTGGTAACACTGAAGGCAGCTAGGAGCCAGAGAATGAAAGTGAATAATAGAGAATTGTCCAGAGCTGCCATCTTTGATAACTGGAAGGGTTCCTGAGGCCTGCTGGCATCCAGCATCCAAGAGCTTGCATCCTCTTTCAAGACACCAACAAACTTCTGCATGTGAAGAGAACGAATCTATGGTTTATGGTTGTCTGACCACAGAGCTTGTCTATGGCTCTTTACCTAAGAATAATCAGGGCTTCACCTGTGGTATTGTTGTTATAGAATGAGGTATTGTACTTCCCCACTATGAGCTCAATGAGAAAGACAAGAGGGTTAGGGGGAAAGCACAGGGCAAACCAGTGCACTTCAAGAACGGAACAGAGGGGGCTGGGGATTTAGCTCAGTGGCAAAAGCGCCTGCCTGGCAAGCGCAAGGTCGTGAGTTTGGTTCCCGGTACCGGAGAAAAACCAAAAAAAAAAAAAAAAAAAAAAAAAAAAAAAGAACGGAACAGAGGAGAATGTGCCCCTTGTTACATATATGAGGTGTGATTTTAAAAAATACAGTAAATGTATAAATTTTTTGTTGTTTTAATTACAGAAAAGACACATTGGCATTAATCCCTCTCAAATACTCCCCCTTGCTTTTTGTTTGTTTGTTTGTTTTTGTTTTTTTCTGGTACCAGGAATCAAACTCACAACCTTGTGCTTGCCAGGCAGGCTCTGTGCCACTGAGCTAAATCCCCAGCCCCCTCCCCCTTGCTTTGAACACATTTATTCTACTGTTCTTGCCACTTTCTGAAGCTGTTAAGTTCTGTTTCATGTCTTTAGTTACTATGTTGTGGCTACCTCAATGTCCTGAATCCATTCAAAACACTTATCTTTCATGAGCACTTTGACTTTGAAGAAAAGCTAGAAGTTGCACGGTGCCAGATTCAGTGAACAAGGTAGATGAGACAGACCATAATAGTTTTACAAGCCTGCCTTTCCATTGCATGGGACTCTGCAGCAGCAGTCACTATGTTTTTGATCATACCTTGTAAACACACAAAAGAGGACTTCAGAATGCTTCAGAAAGCAACAAGCATTATGGAATGTTTTTGAAGGGAGGGGGAGTATCTTGAGATTAATGGAAATGTGTCTGATACTGTAATCATGCTTTAAATTTAAATAGTCACTGTATGTTTTGATCACACCTTGATATGCTATTGTTGGGCCTCATATAGTTTCAAAAGGAGTATTTGACAGAATGAAGTTCACTCCCATCTACTTTTTTTTCCCTTCTCAACTACTTATCATGTTTTTTCCATCTTCCAATCTAGAAAGACATCAGCCGCATGTCTGAACCTCCAGCACTCTCTCTGCTTCAGTGGCTGCCTGGGAGAGCCCACTGCGGTGAAGGCAAGCACCGACCCTCCATCCCAAGCACCACCTTCCTGCAAATTCAAGTCACCCCAGTTCAACTGAGCTCACAGCAATAAACACAGTCACACTTGCAGGTGTTATTAAAAGGAATTTAATAATTTTAATTAAAAACTCTTAACAGCGAATTCCATCACAGGCCTTGGCAGCTGGAAGCAACTCCAGAGGCATGTGCCCCTTTGGGATATGGCCAAAGCCTATCTTGGATGTGAGGCCCACCACTGCCGCACGGCAAGGAGCTACCTGGAAGTTACTTCAATACAATATCAAAGATCCATGAGGATTTTTTTTAAAAAAAGTTTTAAATATATTAGACTCTCTTGATTGCCATTTTTACACAAAGCTGCTGATACAGTATACAGAGTTTTAACTTTTTTTCACATAAAATACATTTTTCTTAAGTGTTCTCTGTACATCAGTGGCTTCTGGTCTGGTGAATTATTGCGGGGGGCTGGGGGTCTGCAGACTTTCCTAGGTGTGCAGAGCCAGGTCCCGCATGGTGGCACTTGCGATGCCCATGGGAAGAACTCCTCTGGCCAAAAAGAGACTCCTGGGGAGGAGAGGCCTATAGCTTCTGGCAAAGGGAATCACTTCTGCAGAGCTGTCTACTAACCATGTGACCCTTTGCTCTTCCATGTGCTAGGGGAGGGGAAGCTGTCCCCAGGCTACATATAACAAGGGTTACATACAGTACTTCTGGGCATCTTGTAAGGAGCCCCTTCCTGCGATGTATCCCCTTGTCTTACTCTGGGAGAGCAGCTTGGAGAGAGAGCCCAGGATCAGGGTGTGACATCAAGAACCAAGAGTCTCATGTTACTACAAAGCTAGCAAACTGGTGGACCAAGACAGGTGCCACACCCTGATTAACTTTTTGAAGCCTCTTGGAAATAGATCCATTGACATTCATCAAACAGTGCAGAGCAATTTTATTAATGTTGCATATCTAATGGAGAATTATATTCTGAAATTTTCAGTTGACCTAGGCCTACGGTTCATTCAGATTCCCTGAGCTACTGGCCAGAAACTCACAATCTGATGATAGACACCAATTTCCAATTGTTTGAGGCATAAGATGGGAACAAGGGCCAGACTCACACTGAGAATTATGGCACCTGCTTCAGAAGTGGCCTCCATTAATCTGCTGGGAATTGCCACCAGGCTAGGTTGCAGCAGGAGCTGGGTATCTGATTGACCTTGCCAGGCTTCCAGAGCTTTGATCCACACCTACCAGGAACAGAGGTTGATTCATGGGGAAAGGCTGAATGTTAAAAGGAGCAGCTGCTTTCTCTCCCAGCATCCCCTGATGCATGTGGGGTACAGTGGGGGACTATGTGGTAAATGAGCAAAAATGAGCAAAAGACAAAAATTTTAAGAACTAGAGATGCATGTGGCAACAAATGGCAGACTCCTTGTTCTTCTACACACTGACCTCAGACTGCTATTATACTGTCCCCCAGAGATACTGACCTGAAGGCAGCTATCCCTGAAGGTTCCAGAAGGACCTGGGATGGTGTCTGCCTGGAACCCAAGATCCAGCATGTGCACTTTGTGGATAATGTATCCATGGGTGTTCATGAAACTGTTTCCTAGATAAAAGGGTTCATACTCTCATGATTCCAGGAAATGAAAAAGTCCTCTGCTCAGGTGCACTAGGCAAGGCTGCTGATGCCCATGGTCCTTAAGGGATGAAAACCGGAAAAGGCAGTCCTCACTGTTTCCTATTCCTCCTTCATCTGTAGAACCTAACATAGTGCCTGGTTTGTCGCAGCTACTCAGTAAGTTATCAGTGAATAAATGGATGACCCAGGCGTCTTCACTGGAGGATCCCCAACTTATTGCTCAATACTCAGGGAAGGCTCCCCAGGGACCTGAAGCCCTAGCAGAGAACACTTATCCCTGGTGGAAAACGTGAGCTAAAACAGCCTAGGAGTCACCTCTGTCTGAGGCCATTTCCTGGGGGAGGGAGGAGATCAGCTGGGATTCCCAACTCTCTGGGTGGAGAGTAAAGGCCCAGGAGCCAGGAAGAAGAGGGCAGGAAGGAGTGGTCTGGAGGCCTGCGTTGTTTCTGGTCCTTTTGCTTAGGGACCACTGTCTCTTGAGAGCGTGTGGCCGCCCTTGGCACTTCCCACCTTACAGCTGAAGTCAGCTCCAGGGACATTTCAGCACCATTCAGGGCTGAAGACTTTTAAAGCCAATCCTATGTGTGTTTGGAGCATCTGCTGCTTCTCTCATAGGCTGAGATGATGGAGCACCCACCCCAGGCCTCAGGGATGTAGCAAGTACCATGTACACCTATCTTCAGTCTCCTGAGCTGCCTCTCCACTGCACCTACCCTAGCGTTGGGGTGGATGTGGCCTGTTGCTGGGAGACCTCCTATGACCCCAGCACCCACCATGGGTATTCTCTGCCCTAGCTGCCCTCCTCCTGGTAAAGCATCAGCCAGGCCCCTTGAGGTCCTGCTTTCTCTGGAATATGGGGGACACAGAAGGCCACAGGAGGGGACTAAGGCTGACGAACAGCAGACCCTATTACTATGGCTGTGGCACAAGTGGGACTCCTCTAGCTCCAGCCTGCCCTAGTCCAGGTGCCAGTCAGGGTGAATTTCTCATAGGTTCAGAAAGATGCAGGTTAAAGGGCACCCAGATCTGTTCCCCACCTCAGAATCTGGACCTAACGGGCCCTTCAGAACTCTAAGGAGGTAGCTTTAGAACAAATTAAAGGAGCCAGGAAGCCAGGAAGAAGAGGGCAGGGAGGAGTGGTCTGGAGGCCTGTGTTATTTCTGGCCCTTTTGCTCAGGGACCACTGTCTCCTGAGAGCGTGTGGCTGCCCTTGGCATTTCCCGCCTTGTAGCTGAAGTCAGCTCCAGGGACATTTCAGCACCATTCAGGGCTGAAGACTTTTAAAGACAATTTAAAGGGGCACAGAGAAGGGAACAAACCTGCAGCTTGTTAGTTACACTAAAAGATCTTGGCTGAGCCTGTGGACAGTGTCCACTGCGTGGACAGTTTCAAAGGAGCTCATGATATAATGCAACAGTGAGGTGGCAAGAGTCCACCCTCCCCAGCATCAGGGAGACTGGGCCTACAGAACTGGCGGGCTAGGGTGAGACCCACTTCCAGCCCTGCCATTGCTCTCCTTGATGCAGTATAGGGTGCTGGCCACGGACACTCTGGATTTGCAGCCTTGGGGTGTCATAACACCAGCAGGAGCAGGCTGGGAGCCCTAGGACCAGGCAGGAACTCGTGAGGGCCAAACCTGTCCCCACAAGTATTCCAGGAAAGGCAAAGCTGAGCTAGGGATGCTGAGCATTCACTCTGCACACACCATTGACAAGGGATGCGGGAGGGGGCAGGGGTGCGGCGCAGGTGGCCCCAACTGCTCACTGGGATGGCTCAGTCTAAGGAGGGCTGGCTGAGATGGGTTGGCCTGAAACAGCCTGCATCTTGCCAAGACTGCAGGGCACTGGGCTGTGTCACTGTTAACCAGTGCTGTTCTCAAATGTGAACTCCCTTCTCTCCCGGGAAAAGGCCTCCAGCAGAAGCTCCTCACTGAGCTTCATTTTGTTCCAACACTAGCAATAGAACCTGGTGAGACACCAGCATAAGAGAAGGCAAATTTAGTTTCCTCCCACCTGGAGTTTACAAGCTAAAAGAATGGTTTTACCAAATGAAATTTTGGAGAGACTGACTTTGTTGCAACCCTCCCCTACCTCTATATTTTCTGGCCCCTGAGTAGTTTACACAGCTCCTGCCTCCTGACGTGAGACAGGAAGGCAGCTCTCAGCAAAGCTGCAGGGCCAGGACTGTGCATGTCGCCTCTAACTCACACAGATTGCTGGCTCCTTCAAACACAGAGAGGACCTCTTGTTCTTGCCAGGTGTGGATGGTGGCCCAGGCCCCAGTATGACTCTAAGAAGGATTGTAGGTCTCAACTGGGCAGGCTCCTCCCCTGTTTGGGTCACATGGCAGTGGTGCTGAGATTTCTTCACCTCAATCCCTTTGGGAACAGCCCACACATTTTAGTCCTACCTGCTTCCCATGAGCCCAGGTGTGTCATCCCTACATGTGTGCAATGACTGTAAGAAAGGATATGTGTGCGTGTGTGTGTGTGTGCATGTGTGTGTGTGAGAGAGAGAGAAAGAGAGAGAGAGAGACATGGGAGTACTGGTCCCAAGAAGACTTTACCAGAGCATAACTGGGATCCCAAGCCTGCCCTCCCCAAATCAGACAGCAGAATGAGCGAGGGCCACTAGGTTTCCGATGGCAGACAATGCAGCAGGAAGCAGAACTGAGGGGAGTGGGGCTGCTATGGAGAGCTGGGTGGGAGGTGGGGTGAGCGTTCCTCTGGAAAGCAGAGCCTACCTCTCCCCAGCTGTCCTGTGATGCCCCCCAGCCAGAGCTGTTGGACTGGCCCAGATTCCAGGGGCCCCTCCCTGAGGCATCTCTCTCCTCCATACGAGGAGACTAGGAGATGCGGCAGCAGCCGTGGACCTTCTCCTCCATCTCCTCTATGGGGGCCTTGAACTTTAAGAGTGGGGGGTCCCCACTGGTGACCGTGTAATACACCGAGGTCCCATTGCTGCTGTAGGGTGAAGTTCTGCCTCCAATCAAGGGCGCCTTGCCTTCACTGCTGCTCTCCCCTGACCTGGCCATGCTGCTGCCCAGGTGGGTGCTCAGGAAGGGGTGGCTGAGCAGCTTGGCTGCAGCCCGCTGCCGCTTCAGCTCCAGAAGCGTTTGGGGGCTCTGCTCCTTGAAGCCACTCCACGGCGGGGTGGTGTCAGCCATGACAGGGCTGCTGTAGGCCATGCTGTAGTCAGGCACCTCGTGCACCTTCCAGACATCCCCATTGGACAGTGCATACTGGTAGGCACTGACCGGAGCCCGGAGGCCGTTCTCAATGGGCCCATCCAGTTCACCCCGCGAGATCTTGGTAGAAAACTCTGAGAGCAGCACGGGCTTCTCCAGTCTGGGGTTCTGAGGGCAAGAAGGACAACATTAGCAACTGCCTAGAAGATCTGCACCTACCTGCATCTCTGCCCAGGGCAGGAGTAGACCTGTCCTCCATCCATTTCCTCTACTGGGGTAGTGGGGCCTGTGTGTTCCTCTGGGGCATCACTAATCTTTGTGTTCTGGTATAGCTGGCTAGCCTCTATCCTTGCTCCAGGGGCTTGAGTCATGGCCCCAGGCCTGGCTAATCAACATATTTTGTTACAGGTATTGGTCCAGAAATGAGTACTTAACTGAAATTGGTTCAGTGAAACTCAACCCCTAGACTTTTGCTAGAACAACTGGGAAGGAGAAGTTTCTGTGGGAGCTGTGGGAGGTAAGAATGGTGTAACCTAGGGCTGGAGAGACACCATGGCAAAGGTGCTTTCTCTGCTTGGGAGAAAAGCTAACATCAAGAAAGACTAGAGATGTGTTTTGACCCCCTGGATCCATCTGGCCTCAAACTTTTCCATTTATGTAAGCCAAGAAATTTCTTGTTTATCTAACTTAATTTTACTTAGGTTTTTGGCCACTTATAAACACTTCATAAACCTTCCTCTCTATTCCCAGCATATCTTCTCCTCACATGACAAAGATTCTCACCCAGGGATCCTTTAGGCACAAGAATCCTTGGACAACAAGCACTTGAAAAGTAACTGCTGCCTAGCAACTATAAAATAAAAGATAGGTACATTTGACAATAACAAAGATGCAAAGCATAGCAAAAATCATTTATACAAAGTCAAAGACACTAAAAAAACAAACTGGGAAAATATTTGCAACATATATGATCTCAAAGGGGCTAGTTTCCCAAATACAAAGAGCTCTTAAAAGTCAGTTTTTAAAAGCCCAACAGAAAAAACAAACAACACTCATTTACAGCTCACTGCAAAGCGTATGGATATACATAGCATATAAACCTTGGAATAATATTCAACCTTACTAATAATATTAATTCATAACATAAAAATCAAAACAAAAATACAACTTTTGACTATCACATTGACACATATTTTGAAAGTTTATATGATTCCAGCTACACATTCTGGAAAAGACAGGGCTATGGAGACAGGAAGCCAGTGATTGCCAGGTTTGGGGAGGATGAATAGGAGGAGCACTGGGGACTTTAGGGCAGTGAAAGTATTCTGCATGACACATTAGGCTTTGGTCAAAACCCACAGAATGTACAACACAGAGTGAACTGTCACGTAAACTCTAGGGTTTAGTTAACAATGATGTATCAACTGACTCAGTAGCACATGTACTATGCTAAAGCAGGATGTTAATAAAAAAGGGAGCCTGGGAAGAGTGTAGGAAAAGGTACATAGAAATCATCTGTACTTTCCGCTTACTATTTTCTGTAGAATTCAAACTGCTCAAAAACATAAAGCCTACTAACTTAAAAATTCAAACCATATGGACAATGCCTCAGCTCTAACCCCAGAGATTCATATTTAGTCCATTTAAGCCACAACCTAGACATCATGAGAAAGACAAGGAGGAAGGAAGGAGGGAAGGAAGAGCTCCCCAGCTGATTTTATTGCACAGTTAAATTTGTGACCCATGGTTGAGGAGACTAGGGCTGTCATACTGGTCCTGTGACCAGGACCAGGAAGTTGGCTTTGCCAAAGCTTGAAGCAAAGCCAGCCCTAGGGGCTTCCAAGGCAGAACTATGGCAGGTGTCTGATATGGGAGGCAAGCTGAACAAACACTCTCTTAGATAAGTGGCTGTCATATCATCAGATGCATCAGAACCTATACCTGGAAGATCGATTAACAGAAGTACTAGGCACTGGCCCAGGGCTTCTGATTTGGTATATCGTGGGCAGGACATGAGAAGTTGTACTTCTAATAAGTTCCCAGGTGATACTGATGCAGCTGGCCCTAGGACCACACTGGAGAATTCCTCCCTTAGAGACTATCACATGTTTGCCAACACCTAAAGCCTAGAAGGGGTAGGGTGAAAAAGGAACATGTTTTGAGCTCTGTGGCTGTGTCCTGTGATCTTGTTTCCTCCAGGGCTGGGGCTGGGATCTGTGTGGGGCCTGGCTGAGAGTTGCCCTGGGATAAGGACTGTCTGCTCTGACAATGTCATCTCTATAACCTAACTCTTCCCCAGCCCTGAAAAACAGCCTCAGAGGCAAAGATGTCCATCTTTGGTGTCACCTAGCACTAAACAAGCTGCAGCATTGATGAGGAAGCCCTAGAAATTAACTAGAATGAAAAGAAAATCAAGCCTATCGAAGGGGGTCCCCAGTATCCCAATATCTATACCCTGTTTCCTGCAGGCTTAATGATTACTGGAACTCCACATCAATGAGCACTTTTAGAGAGTCCTGGGGCCTGTGAGGCCTGAACGCACACATAGACAAAGCAAACACAAGAGGAGCAACTGCTCGTATAAAGATCTCTTGTAGTATCTCAGTCAGTTACAGATCAGTAAGGAAAAGATAACTCAATAAAAAAGGACAAAAAAGTTACCTCATAAAAGAGGATAATTCAAGAGCCCATAAGCACACAAAAAGGAGTTCAACAGCACATATCATACAGGGAACAGAAGATTAAAATGTGAGCTGCTTCAGCAACCCTACAAGGATGGCTCAAATGAAAAGGACTGATTATATCAAGAGTGAAAAAACACTTTTACACTGCTGATAGGAAAGTAGATAAGTACAACCACTGTATTTATATTTACTAATTTATTCTTTTTTTTTTTTTTTTTTGTCTTTTTGAGATAGGGTCTCACTATGCAGTTCAGGCTGGCCTTGAGTTCACTTTGTAGTCCAGGCTTGTTTCAGACTCGCAATGATCCTCCTGCCTCAGCGTTCCAAGTGCTGGATTACAGGCATGTGCCACCATGCCCAGCTCATTTTTGTTTTTAAAGATAGGTTCTCCCCTATATTCCAGGCTGACCTTGAACTCATTATATAGCCCAGGCTGGCTATAAATTCACAGTGATCCTTCTGCCTCAGCCTCCAGAGTACTGGGATTACAGTTGTGTGCTCAAATGCCTGGATCTAGGTACAACAACTTTGGAAAATGCTTGGTGGCATCTCCTAAAGCTAAAAATGCCTATTCCATACTGCATTACCCCAAAAATGCACACTGTAGCAGATTTATTCATGGTAGCTGAAAACTAGACATAATCCACATGCCCACCTATAGGAGAATGGATAGGTAAACTAATTTTGTCGTCTGTCAATACCCAGGGAATGGGTTCCAGGACTCTCTGTGGAAACCAAAACCCTCAGATGCTCAAGCATCTTACTTAAATGATGTAATATTTGCAAATAACCTATACACTTCCTCTCATATACTTTAAATCATCTCTAAATTATTTATAATACCTAATACAATATAAATGCTATAGAAATACTATGGTGTATTGTTCAGGGGATAATGACAAGGAAAAAAGTCTGCATGTTCACTATAGACACCATTAAGAAAGATATTTTTAGTCTTAAATTGGTTGAATCTGCAGATGAACTCACAATTATGAAGAGCTGATCATCTTCAAACAACAGAACTCCAGAGAGCAGTGAAAAAAAATCAACCACTGCTATATGCCATGTCATGTATGAATCTCACAGACATAAAATAAGCTAGACACAAAGACATCCTCCTGCTCAGACCTGTTCACATGCATGTATATGCGTACACAAAACTAATCTTCAGTAGTGACCTGGAGAGGGAATGTGAGAGTCTTCTACAGTGACAGAAGTATTCTACGCATTCATCTAATTGTACACATTTATAAAAGTCCACTGATAAATGCATTTCAGATTTAAAGCTGCTACAGTGTGCATTTTGGGGGGGAATGTTATGCCTTATATCTAGGTGCCCCCTCAAACTTCATTCACTCATAGATGGGACTTTTCAGAGGGTGTGTGAATGTGGATTAAGGGTATGATAACTAAATTAGCCCACTGATTGGTCTCGCATAGTTCTGGGTATGGATAAGGGGAAAGCCCACCCTCAGTGTGGGTGGCACCACACAAAAGGCTGGCAGCCTGGGTGGGATAAAAGGGGAAGGGCTGCTTGCTGCGTGCTGCTTTCTCCCTGCCCTACCATGGACTGCTTCTCCTCTGCGATAGCCCTCTGCTATGCCACCCTGTCTTGGAGCCAACAAACTATGGACTAAAACCTCTTCAAACTATGAGCTGAAGTAAATCTTCCCTCCTTTAACTTTGGGTGCCAGGTATTTTGCCTCAGCAATGAGAAAAGTAACTAAGACAGGTACCACACCATACAGAAGATACACCTGAATCACAAAGAATAAGTAAAGCATACCTGGGAAGCATCTGAAATGTGATGTTTTCATCTACAACTCTTTCTTCCCTACCCCTCAAGCTGAGGGGTGGAAGAACAAAGCTTCCAGATGTACCATTTCCATACGCAGGCTGCTTTGGCTCTGATGGGCAGGCCCTTAACAGGCACCTTCACTCTTGCAGATGAGACAGCCTGTGGGTGACCTCCCTGTGCCCGCTGGGAAGCAGGGTCCCCCTGAGACATATGGGCATTCAGGGCAGCTAACCATCCTACTTAAGCAATATCTTCTAGAAATGTTTTCACCTGTTCATTGTGTGCTGGGAGAACCAGAAAGGCAGACCACTCATGGGAGAGCCTGCTTCTCCCCTTTTATCTTTGGCAATTCTTCTCCGGCCCTGAACATTTTCTCCTCACCCAGCAAGAAAGCACCTGTATGTGAACCTGACTGGGTTGGAACTGAGCTCAATCATGTCCCTCAAAAGTTCATGTTCACCTAGAACCTCTGAATGTGACTATTTGGAACTAGGTTCTTTGCAAATGTAATTAGTTGAATTAAAATAAGGTCCTACTGGATGGGGAAACCCTTAAACCACTGGTCTCCTTATTTAAAAAAAAACCATCACAGACACAGATGCAAGGAAGAATGCCGATGAAGACAGGGGCAGAGATTGAATTCAGACTACAAAAGTCAAGGAACACCTGAGCCACCACAATATGTCAGAGCAGCCACAGGAAGTAAACATGCACCGTCTTAGGAAAATATTTCAAAGCCTGGGACCACTGCAGGCTACTTCTGAGCAGGCTGGTCAGAGGTCCTCCCGACACCCCACTCAGTGTTCCAGAAAATGTCTTCCAATTAGATGTGTTCTGATAAACACCATTCTCACATCTTGCTTTATTTCCTGCAAAATATTTTAATGCCCTTAGCTCTTGGAGTAACTGCCCTGCTGAACCTCTCTTCTGGCAAGTCTAGAACCCACATCTGATGGGTGCACAGCAGTCACTCTCTCCCTGTCAATTATGAGGCGCACCCTTGCCCCACATGCCAAAGCTCCCAGCTCTGACTCTGACATGCCCCACGGTGACCTCAGTAACTACACTGGCTGTCATCAGACAGGATCCAGCTGCTAGGGTCAGCCGCTTCCCTCGGAAGGTTCTCAGATTAGAAGCCAAACCAGGGTGCACCCTGTCCTCCCAAGTCAGCGGCTGACACTGGGCCAGGGCATGAGGTCACTCACTGGGTCCTTATTCTCTTGGTCTGTCCTGGTCTCCCTGATGTCCCCGTTGTAGGTGGCAGTGCGCTGGTCCTCGGCTGCACTCCGCTGCTGCCACAGTATAGCCTCTCCCTCATACTCCTTCCTGTACAGGTTGGTCCTGTCCGACAGGCTGGCTCGACGTACCACCTTCCTGAGGGGACAGAGAGGGTGCTGGAGGCCTGTGCCTGGGTACCACAGCAGATACAGGCAGGGGGACACCTGGATGCCCTGCCTCTGACTCACCCACGGCTGCCTGCACTGGATGTCCTCCGGCTCAGGGATGACTTGTGCCTCAGCTGTGACTTCATGATTACATCATGCTTGTGTTTGAGCTCCAGCAGTAGGACCTTGAACTCCTCTTCCTCACACAGGTCTAAGGGACACAGAAGTCAGTAGTGGGGGTGTGGCATGGAGCTGTGACCCAGAGGATGCTCCAGGCCAGAGGAGCTGTCACTCTAACCCACTGGAAGCTCCAAGACTCTTGGGAGGCACACAGGGTGGGAGAAAACACCAGCCTCATTTCCTGGCTGCAAGCACATCATTACAGGAGTGAGAGAACAGGAAACCCAGATTCCATGCAGTTACAACACCCAAGCTTCCCAGCGAGGACCAAGGGACTTATGTTCCTATTTGACAGTTTCTGGGAGAATCCTCAACTCTCAGGCACAAGACATAGAGGGAGGAGAGTGGGAGGGAGGGGCGGGGGAAGTAAAAAGAATTAAGATGTGTTATGTACATGTACAACTCCCGATGAATATAATCATTATGTACTGCAAACATGTACTAACAAAAATTAAAAATGAATAAAATAAAAAGCATAAAGTGAAACAAGTGGGTACCCCATCCATGTAGCCTAAGCAAGAAATTATGCAGAGGTTGAGAAATCTCACAACCTCACCATTCCATCTACCTAGTGTCTTCATTCTTCTATCCACTTATCTACTGACCTGACCATCCATCCACAGGTTCATCCTTTGCCCACCAATCCACTTATCTATCCATCCATCCATCATCACAGCTACTCACCTACTCTATCTATCCATCCATCCACTCATCCGTCCTTATCCATTCATTCATCCATCTATCCACTAATCAACCATCCATCAATTTATTCATTCATTCATCCACCTATCTGCATACCAGTCCATCACTATCCAGCCATATATGCATCTACTTAACCCTTCACCTAGCAAAAGATTGATGAGTGCCTATGTATATACCAGGTATGGTGCTGCAAGCACATCATTACAGGAGTGAGAGAACCTACCTATTGGCATCTCATCCATGGATGTCCTTGCACTGAGACTAGCCCCATGGGACACCAACAGCTCTGCCATCTGCATCTGAAACACAAGAAGCCCATGTTCCTTCAGCCAGGGTTCAGAAAGCCTAGGAGGCAGAGAGAGTGCCCAAGTCCCAGCAGCTGTTTATTTTGTTTTGTTTTGAATGCATGGGATTGAATCAAGGACCTTATGTATGCTTGGCAAACATGCTACTGCTAAGCTATATCCCCAGACCCAGGAGGTTTATTGTGTTGTTTTGTTCTGTTTAGAGACAAGATCCTTACTATGCTGCCCAGGTTGACCTTGAATTCATGATCCTCCTGCCTCAGCTAGGAGGCAAGTAGCTGGGATTACAGACATGAACTACTGGACTTGGCCTCAAGGCCTCTTAGAATGTGAACTAAAGAATGGTGAGCCAGGGGCTGGGGATTTAGGTCAGTGGCACAGTGCCCGACTGGCAAGCACAAGGTTGTGAGTTCGATTCCCAGTACTGGAAAAAAAAAAAAAAAAAAAAAGAGTGGTGGGCCAAAATCGGCTCCCAGGGAGTATCTTGCACCATAGAGCCATGGGGGAATTCTGAAAGATGCAATGGGCTTGACACCTCCAGTGTGCATAGGGCTCACCAAGGGGGCTAAGAAGAAGTTGGCTGTGGTTCTAGAGCTGCCAGGTGTCTACGAGGGGGACTGTGTAAGCTGTAATTATATATAGGAAACAAATGGAGAAACTTCTCACAGCAGAAATGCTGGGTAATTTCTAATTTGGCAAATTTGATTATCATCCCTTTAAGACACAACTTGTAAAACATTTTTGCAAACTCCCCAAGCCTTTTCATATCCTACATTTTCATCATGGTCAGTAGCTTAAGTGGGTTTTATGTTCTTTTGAATCAACTGCCAGCCCAAGGGCTTGGTGACAGTAGGTTGACCCTGTGCTAGCCTCTCTTGCAGGCCTAGGGGTGTGAACTACCTGTCCCCAGAAGGCAGCAGCATGCAGGGGCTCCCAGCCATCCCAGTCCTTCACATCCACACGCACTCCATGGTCCAGGAGGAGCTCAGCTGCCCGCAGGTATCCGTTGGCTCCAGCTATGTGCAGCTGAAACAGAGGGGAAAAGTGAGCATTTCCTAGAGGGCTGACTTCACACTTGGAGGCAGGAGATCCCTCACCCATACCCAAATCCCAGAGCATCCCTGGGGCCAGCAGAATGAAAGAGAACGAAGTGTAAACACCAGCTACGACACAGAGAATTACTAACTTTGAAATATCAGCCAGAAGGAAGGCAGAGAGGTGAGCTCTTCTCCCCTGTGCCTCCCCTACTGTGTGCTGAGCCTGATGAAGGGGGTCCCAGATGTCTAATACGGCAGTCTAAAAATATGTCTACTAATTATTTGACATGTCTTTCCTTAAAAGGTAGAGCTTAATGCTCTCCTCTTAAATATAGACCAAACTGAGTGACTGACTTCTAACAAACAAGAGAGTATAAAGTGTGTGATTTCCAAGGCTAGCACTCAAAAGGTGTTGCTGCTTCTACTTATGCTCTCTTGGGTCAACCAGTCTAGGAGGAGGCAGCCATCATGTTGTGAGGACCCTCAAGCAGCCCTAAAGAGAGGTCCTCAGGAGGCAAAAAACTGAGGCCTCCAGCCAACTGCCAGCACTACCTTGCCAAGCATGAAGGGAGACACCTCGGAGGGGACCCTCTGGCTTAGGTCAAGACTTCAGATGAGACGGTGGTCCCAACCAACATCTTCACCTCAGCCTCATGGGAGATGCCAAGTCAGAGACACTCGGCTGAGTAGGGCCACTGCCCTGACCCATAGAAACTATTTGAGACACTATCTGTTATGAAGATGCTACATTGTGAGGGTATTTTGTTATGTAGCAATAGATAACCGGTACATCCAATAACAGAAAGCTCCATGCCAAAGTCCCAACTCCTGTACCTAGCACAAGCCATAGCCAACACCCAGCAGACTTCAGTTTTCCCACTTGTTTAATTGTCAAAAAATATACAGTGCTTGGTACAGGATGAACATTCAGTAAGTGATTCACACTCTTCTAGACCCCTACTTGATGACAAAGTACACCATGAAAATGAACAAAAGTGGAAAAGGGCGGTGAGGCAGAGAAATAAACTGCCCAGCCACAGTAGAAGGCAGAAGTGAGAGTCCAGAGGTCGTGGGAGACTGGCTGGGAGAGCCAGAGAACTCAGGGTGTTTAAGGTCCGGGACAGCAGAGTCAGTGAGCCAGAGAAGGCATGGCCTCAAGAAGTGACCTAGCAGGACACAGAAATGTTCCCTCGTCTGAGGGAAGATTGCAGCAGGGTTCTAGCAAGTGAAGATTTTCCTTTTTCTTTTTAACTTTTAAGAATAAATCTAAGAGGGGCCGGGGATATAGCTCAGTGGCATAAGCACTTGCCTGGCAAGCCTGAGGTCATGAATTTGATTCCTGGTACCAAAAAAAAGAATAAATCTAGGGTATGGCACAATAGCACAGGAAATTAGTATAATGATCTGCTTTTAGACGTCTGATGCTTGCCGGTCTTGAAGCATAACCTCTATCTGGCCAGCAAACCACAGGATCTTAGTATCTGGCTGGGGAAAAAAATCTAGAGTGGGACAGTGACATTGTTAGTAATAATAGTGGTGATTGCTAACATCTACTGTTTAGAGACTCTGCTGAACACCTACATGCACAAACACATGTAACCCTCAAACAGGCCTGGGAGGGATTCACTCCTATCTCCAGGTGTTCTCCAGTTTATAGGAAGATCTGAGACCTACATACGCGCTTGGGCCAAGTGGGTGAGTACCTGGAGGCCAGCAGCATTTAGTTTCACCCCCAAATTCCTCCTTTATTTTTGCAGTCCTAAGGATTGAACCCAGGGCCTTTGCATTGAGCTACATCCCCAGCCATTTCTGATTTTTTTTTTCTAAATTGGGTCTCACTAAGCTGCTAAATTGCCTAGGCAGGGCTTGACTTAGAGATCCTCCTGCCTCAGCCACCCAGGGGCCTAGGATTACAGACATGTATCATCATGCCCAGTTTCCTGACCCCATTCTTAAAGCTGAGCTGAATAGGCGACCCAAGTAGGGACCCAGAAAATACAAATGGGCAAAAAGCATAGGTCAGAGCTCAGGAGCCAGGAGAGGGGAGCCCTGTTACTGTACGTGGGCCACAAGGTCAGTCCTGAGGATGGTAAAGAGCGTGGGACTGCTATGCAATGTATGCTGAGCCTGAGGCCCTGGAACCACTGACCAGCATGGAGCCTAAGCCCAAGGTAGCATCCAGCTTCAAAGAGTGGGCTTTCAAGCTTACTGCACTCCTGTTTTCAGTGTAAAGACTGCAGTAGACGCTGCCCTATACTGAGTTGCAGTGTGCTAGGAGAACCTAGGAGGCAATGCCAGAGAGGTTTCTCCAAATCACTGACACTTGGGCTGCAAACGAGTGGAGTTAACCAGGCAGATTTAAGGAAGAATGAAGGAAGAAGCCTCTACTGTTCTGTCTCTGGAATCCAATAAAGTATGTGGTATAAAGGAGATGTTTACATATGACTATAGGTTAACTGGATGGATGGATGGATGGATGGATGGATGGATGGATGGATGGATGGATAAATGAACTCTGAAGTCAGGGAACTCAGGGGGAAGGCTGTTGAAGCAATATCAAGAAGAGATGATGAGGCAAGACAATAGGGGTGGGAGAAAGGACACCAGGCAAGGGAAAGGACATTGCAAATCCAGATGGCATGGATGATGGGGTAAATAGTGGCATCAGTTCCTGAGGGAAGACATCACTGGAAGAAGGGGAAATGACATCCAAGATGGGCATGATCTTGGAGATGGAAGAGATGACCAAGAGAGCCAAGGCTCCATGCCGGGGTCTTGACTCCCAGCCTCAGGTGAGAGCAGCCAGGGCTTCAAAAAGATTGAACCTTATTCCACCAACCTTCTATGTTCCAGGGGTGGCCCTGGCCCAAAAGGGATCTGGAGGAGGTCCAAGGTCACAGAGAAGCCCTAACTGTACAGGCCTGGCCCCCACCAGGGCCTGCTCCACTTCAACCCCGCTGGTCTTGGTTTTGGTACCTGCCCCCAGCTCAACCGGCCTGTCCCCTCTCCTCACCAGTGTGGCACCCTGGGCATCTATCCAGTCAAGGTCCTGGCCTGCTGCAATCATACAGTGGATGTCCGTGATCATCTGCTGCTCAGGAGCAGCCCGCATCTCGTTAATTTTCTCTTGGGTGATACCTGCAGTGGGAAGAGAGGATTTGTTCAGCATTCTCAGGCCTAAGTCCCAAGAGGAGAGAGAACAACAGATAGAGGAGGCACAGCTCCTGCTCCCAGGGTCTGCCAGCCAAGGAGGACCTAGGTCATTGTCCCTGAGTCCTGATAAACACCAGCTCCATGCATTGAGCCACAGACTGAGGGGCAATCCTGCCTGCCACCCAGTAGGCCTTGTGTTAATCTTGGTTATTATTAGCCTGCTGCTCTTCCACCTGGAAGCCCCACCTAGCTGCCTACCTATCTCCAGCTTCTCAAATGGCTCGAATCTCCTCCCCAGCTGGCATCTGCTGGCTATCCTCACAGTCTCTCTGTGTTTCCTTTGGCTGCTCCGTGGTTAGATTTGCAGAACCAGGCATAATACCAATGCATTTTTGTTGTGGAAATTATGAACTAAATGGACATATTACTTTCAAATGGAGAGTTGAGTAGATTGAGGTAGAGGAGCCCAGAAAGACATTTTATAACCTGAATCCCTGGCTACAAACTGTAGCTGTTACTGGCAGCTACTAATGGTATTTAAGGAGAGGGTGATATGCTCTATAAAAAGATCCATTAGATCGAGTATCCTTGGATAGAATTTAGGGAAGATTTATAAACTTGAAAGGAGAAAAACAATGCAACAGTACATGTTTATTTTGACACTAAATAAAATTTAGTGTTTCCCACCACTAGAATATAAGCAAAACCTACAGTGGCATTAGCAATGCCTGGAAGTGTATCACTAACAGAATCTCTAGATGGTTTCATTTTATGTTATCTTATTATTTCATGACAATTCAGTTTCTAATATATTTAAACATATTTTGATAGATGTTTGTGTGTTTGTTTGTTTGTTTGTTTGTTTGAGATAGGGTCTCACTATGCAGTTCAGGCTTGCCTTGAACTCATTATGTAGCCAAGGCTGGCATCGAACTCACAGTGATCCTCCTGCCTCAGCCTCCTGAGAGCTGGGATTGTCGGTGTGCTCCACCACAGCCAGCTCCTAGCATTTTATAACTATACTGAAAACATCCTGATAAGAGGTCCATAGATTTACCAGATCAGCCCAAAATTGTTAAGAACCTCAACAGAAATGAATAGGAAAAGCTTAGGTGCCAGGAGACAAGGAGACCAATTGGCAGTGATCACAGCAATCTTGGTGGGGAGGGGGACACAACGCATGGGCCAGAGTAGGACCTCAGGGTACAGCTGAAGGCCTGAACTTGAGACCTATTTAGAAGGAGGCACTTCATAGGCATGGCTGTGAGATACGGAGGCAGGCGGGCCTCTCACTGCTATGTTTATTTCCTCTCTGAACCTCGTTTTGAGCTGAGAACAGCTCATATCTTGTTTATCTGGGCCTCTGGCAGTCAGCTTGGTGCCTGGCACAGAGCAGCACTGGAGAATGTTCTTGACTTTTTACTATTTTCCCAAATGGGGATATATCTTTATGGTGCGTGTTTACTGAATTGAATTGTCACAGCTGACGAAGAGGAGACTAGGCCAGCTGAGGCCGCCTGCATGTGTGGGTGACAGAGATGAAAACAATACGCCCTTCTGCATAGATGTTCTCCAGGGTCCTTTCATGTCCTCATCTCGTTCATCGCACAGATAATGACAATAATGTGGTCCTGTCCCATTTATGGGGGCTGAGTACCAGGCAGGGAGGCACGTAGCCCGCCAATGTGACACTCACTGCATTCATTTACGTGACACTGCAATCCCATGCTAAGCCCACTTCAAAGCAGGCTGCCCGCCCTTACCCTGATACGCCATACAGGTCTCGATGACATCCAGGGTGGGCTCATCCTCGCAGAGGTCATATGGCATGTTCCCATCAGAGTTCACAGCGAGCAAGTCGGCCCCACTGCAGAGAGAGGATCAGGGTGAGGGCCAGGGAGGGTGGCTAAGGTTGTTCGGCCTGCCTCTGCCCTCTGGCTTCTCCCTCAGCCTCACCACACACTCCAGCACCCACGACCCCACTGTGGTGCACCCAGGAGAGTAACGCCCAGCTATGCCCACTGCTCAGCCCAGCAGCTCGGTGGCTTCAGTATCCTGGGTCCGCACATCAGAAGCCCCGCAAGAGGCATCCCAGAAGATCTCCTCAGCTTCCTGCTCTGTGAAGCAGCAGGTGGGAAGTGAGGGCCAGATGTTAAAGTCCTCCCTGGGGACAATAATAAAGGTAATATAAACAGCAGCAGCACTGCTCTACAGACACCTACCGGGAGATAAACCAGCACTAAGCCGTTGACACACGTCACTTTATTTAGGCCTCACAACAGTCCCCATGGGTGGTAGTACTGGTCTCATCTCATTCAAGAGGACACAAAGACTCAAACAGGCTCTGTCACATGTTCAAAGTCACCACTCGGGTTTGGGATAGTCAGGACTCAAACCTAGGTTGTGTCAGCTCTTTTCACTCCACATCCCCCATCAATCTTCATCTGTATGTAGACACGTCTTCCCCCAAGTCCGCACCCAAAAGCTGCCCAGGACAGGGGCAGAACAGAGACTTGGAGCTCCCTAGGAGAATGTTCCCTTTGGGCCAGTGATGCCCAAGCTCGGCCATGGGTGTCCCGCAGCAGAAATACCTGGGGACCACTGAAATAAAGCACAGCTTCTTGGCTAAGGTTGCTCTGGCCGCTTCTGCCCTCTTAATTTCCTTTCTGGGCTCTTTTTATTGTTAATGTATAGAAAAACAGTTGACTTTTTGGAGGGGATTGTTTGCCTGCCTGAAGCAGTCTCTGGAGTAGGGCCTGGGAATATACAGTTTAATCGTATCCCACAGGTGATTCTGGTGCTGATTAGCATTAGGGAGCCACTGGCCAGGCCAGCACCACTCCCTTTGTCTGGACACTGCTGCTGATCAGCAGGGGCTACCTGATGCTCCTGCCGCCTCATAAGGCATAGCCATCGGCTGCCATACTGGCCTCTGGCCTGACAGTCCTCTGTTATGACCTCTGTGAGCTCCTGTGTGCCCTTAGAAGCTAATCTACCTCTCTGAGCCAGGCCAGCAGTACTGTTCTCTTAATCCCTGCCTCTTAGAGCCACCCGATGAGCTCCTGTTACTCTGCCTACACCTGGAAAAGGTCACCCGCTCTCAGCCATTCCCCCTGACTCCTTGCACTTGCTGTTCTCTTTGGTTCCTGGGGACACCGAGTCACTGGTATTGCTGCTCTGTCTCTGCTCTGAGTTCTCACCTGGCTCCCTAGGACTTCTGCATCCTCATGTGTGCCCACTGCGCAACACAGGGCCCAGCCCAGCTCGGACGCCAACCAATTATTAGCTGGATTCAACTGAATACAGAAGAAATTGAAAACTGCCTTTTCTGTGTGTTTATAGAATTCAAAAAGTCTAGCAAGAGTTCTGGGAAGTTTATGGTCTTTGCCTTAAAGAAAAGCATGTGGAGAGGATTTGGGTTAAGACCAAGGAAGCACACTTGATTTTTTTTAAAGAAGTAAACATACAACAACATATAAGCAGCAACAACACATAAAAACAAAGAAAAACAGCAACAACAAATGCAATAGCACAGATGAAGATAGGATTGTGGAGAAAGAGATAAAAAGAGAATGATATCTTGATATAAAGGCCAGGCAAAAAAACACTACAAGAAAAAAAATTCACACCTATATCCTTGAAGAACAATGATACAAGCCTGGGTGTGTGGGGGCACACATCTGTAGTTCCAGCACTTGGGAGATTGAGGCAGGAGGATCGCTGTGTGTTCAAGCCCAGCCTAGGCTACATAGTGAGGTCAAGGCCATCCTGAACTACACGCCGAGACCCTGTCTCAAACAATCCCCTCCAAAAAGTCAGCTGTTTTTCTATACATTAACAATAAAAAAGTCCAAAAAGGAAATTAAGAAAACAATTCCATCAAAAGAGTAAATACTTGGAGCCAGGCAAGATGGCATGAACTTGTAATTCTAGCACTCTGGGAAGCAAATGCAAGAGGATTCTAAGTTGAAGCTTAGCTCGGGCAACTTAATGACTTAGCAAGACCCTGTCTCAAAATAAAAAGGCAAGGAATATAGTTCAGTGCAAAGACCCTGAGTTCTAGTATTGTGAAGTAAATAAGCACACATACATACATGTGTGTGTGTGTGTGTGTGTGTACCTGTGTATATATATGTGTGTATATTCTAAATACTTAGGAACTAATTAACCAAGGAAATGAAAAACTTGTACAGTAAAAACTGCAAACCATTTCCGAAAGAATTTTTTTGAAAGAAATAAAAGACAGAAACAAATGGAAAGACATCCCATGTTCATGGATCGGAAGATTAAATACAATCAGGATTTCAATATTCCACAAAGCCATTTACAGATTTAATGTAATCCCTATCAAAGTTTCAATGATTTTTTTTTTTTTGGCAAAATAGGAAACCTATCCTAAAATTCATATGAGATCTCAAGGGGCCACAAACAACCACAATAATCCTGAAAAAGAACAAAGCTGGAGGATTCACACTTCCTGATTTCAAAACTTACAAAGCTACCGTAGTTAAAAGAGTATTGTACTGCTGGGTATGGTGGTGCATGCTTGTAATTCCAGCACTTGGGAGACTGAGGCAGGAGTGTTACCATGAGTTCAAGGCCACCCTGGACTACATAGAGAGACCCTATCTCAAAAAAAAAGTGTTGTACTGGCATAAAGGCAGTCATATAGACCAATAGAATGGGACAGAATCCACCCAAAAATGAACTCTTGAACCTATATTAAATGGATTTCAATGGGATGCCAAGACAATGCAATGGCTAGAAGACAATACATAGTGTATAGAAAATCCATTAGGTAGACTACAATCAAGCAAACAAAAAAAAATCTCAGAAAATAACAAGTGTCGGTGAGGATGTAAAGAAAAGGAAACTCTTGGGCAATTCCAGCAGGTGTGTAAGACAGAAGAGCCACCATGGAAAACAGCATAGCAGCTCTCAAAAAATAAATAAATAAATAAATACAAGTATCACATGATCCAGCAACTGTACTTCTGGATTATACCTTAAAAGAACTAAAGCAGAGACACTAAGAGATGATATGGAAAGCCATGTTCAGGGCAGCATTATCCACAATAGCTAAAACATGGAACCAACTCAAGTGTCCATCGATAGATAAGTGGGTAAGCAAAACATGGGGCACACACAATGGAAAAATGACATACACACATGAAATATTAATCAGCCTTAAAAAGGGGAGAAAATTCTGACATGCACTATAACATGGATAACTTGAAGACATTATGCTAAGTAAAATAAGTCAGTCACAAAAATACCAACTCTACACCATTCCACTCAAATGAGGTGCTTAGAGCAGTTAAATTCATAAAGACAGAAAGCAGCATTATGATTGCCAGAGACAGGGTGTAGACGAGGAATGGGAGGATTTACTCTTCAACAGCTACAGAGTTTTGGTTTTACAAGATGAAGAGTTCTTGGGATGGATGGTGGTAATGGCCACACAAGAATGACAATATACGTAGCACCACTGAATTGTGTGCTTAAGCATGGTTAAGACTGTAAAACTTATATAAATTTTGTTATAAAAATATACATATATATTTCCCACAATAAAAAAAAAAACTGGGCTGGGTATGGTGGCCCATGCTTATAATCTCAGCTGCTCAGGAAGCTGAGGCAGGAGGATTGCAAGAGAGAGAAAGAGGCACACGGGAAGATTTTGAGAGAGTGACAAGCGTAAACAGAAACTCAGAGTGACAATGAGAAAAGAAATGATGAGAGAGGGAAGAATGGGAGGGAGGGAAGGAGGGAGGAGAGAAGGGAGAAAAAGGAGTGGGCTTGGGGAGGGCAGGAGCAGGGGCAGTGGCAGCGGGAGGCAGTGCTGGGGGTGAGCAGGCACGTACTACTGGACGAGGATCTTCACCAGGTTGATGTGGCCGCAGGTGGCTGCAGCATGCAAGGGCGTCCACAGCTCGTTGTCCTTGGCGTTCACATTCGCACCATGGGAGAGAAGCAGCTTAACGATCTCCTCAAAGTTGTCAATGCAACACTGGGAGGGACAGAGAGGCGGAGTGAGCCCAGGCAGGGCCCCAGGCCATAATGAGGACATGCCCCGATCCCCGCAAGAAGCCCAGAGAAGAAACCTCTGACTCAGGAATATACACCCTGGAGAAGACCCCAAATAAGACTCCCCGCAAGAATCCAGCCACAGGTTCTCGGGGGATCCCGATACTGTCCCTGCTAGGAGACAGCACACATGTGTTCCCGCCTGCACAGAGCAGTGACCACAGGTGGGTAAGCTCCAGAAAGAACCCAGGGGTCCGGGAGCACCCAAATTCCAGGACCAAGAGTGGAAAATTATTCTGAGGACACTGGCTCGGTCTTTGGCGCAGCGGGAGTCACTGGAGAGCTATCCTCCAAAAAGCAGCACACTCAAGACTTGTTTTTAAAATCACTCTGCTCGTTCCAAGTGGAGAACAGATTGGGTGTGTGCGTGCGTGTGTGCGTGCGTACACACCCACAGCAGGAGAAGCTGAGTTGAGGTCATCTAGTTAAGAGATGGCAGTGGCCTGGCCTACAGAAAACATTGTAAGGACGGGGAGAAGAGACTGGAGCCAGCAGAAGGAGCAGGGACACCTGTGTGAGTCCCTGGTTGCAAGAGGGCATAAGCATAGGCATGGGTGTGGGATGAAGGCACCACAGCCCCCACCCCATTCCCAGTGAGCCAGGGCTTGAAGCCAGAAGGACATGTGGGAAGGGAGCAGCCGTTTGCACAGATGGTGCCAGAGACTCGTGTTCTTTCTGAGTCAGCCAGTCTTCAGGTGGCCAGGTCTGAAGGTATCGCTTTGGACAGGCAGGAGAAGTGCGACCCTGTGGGGCAGGCGCTGCCTCAGGCGACCAGAGAACCACGCATGACACGGCCACCAGGGGGCACCAAAGGCAACAGGCCAGGGTAGAACGGGAGAGTCTCCAGGTTGTCGGTCTAAAGAACTCTGGGGTCCCGGGATTGGAAGAGACCCAATCCTCTTGGAGATCACCCTTAGAGGCTGCAGGAGAGATGGAGGAGGAGTGGAAGGCTCAGGTGGAGAGCTGCAGAGTCTGGGCAGGGCAGCTCAGCAAGGTGGTGGTGGGGGCGGTGCAAGGACACCCTTGGAGAGGCAGGCAGGCCCTGCACTGGCTGAGATGGGGAATGGCACCTGGCATTCAGTTGACTCTTCTTGCTGTAGCTCCATTTCCTAAATCCCTCCCCTCATCCCTACTACCCTAGGTGAGGCCTCATCTTCTCTGCCTGCCTTCCTCTCCACTTGCATCCAGAGAGTGCTTCCTCAGTCATTAATCACGTTGCTCTCGGTTTGCAGACCGGGAAGGCAGAGGAGCTGATCCACACGCCTGGGCCCGAGGGAAGAGGAGCCTCACGTGCTCCAGTCCCCCAGGCTGTACTGCAGCTGTAGTGACACTAATGCTGACAAAACAGCCCCTGAAACTACAGCTCATGTCATGTTGTCATGAAGAAAAGCCAAGGCTTTTGAGGGCCCCCTCACACTGGGCACCTTACTAAGCTTTGGCCATGCCTTGCTGTACTTAATCCTTAGAGCAGGGCTGAGAGGATCCTCTTATTCCCACTTTATAGATGGGGAAAGTGGCTCAGCGAGGCCAGGGTTTAGAGTCACACAGTAAGAAATGGATTAAAGTAAAGATGAAAATCCTTTTACAGATCCTAACTCATGAGGAGGTCTGAATCCAGAGGCCCTGTTCTCAGTCTTCCCAGTCTCACCTCCTGCTGTTTCCCTGGGGCTCCTGGCATACTGATGATGCCATGATCGACCCCCCAGACTCCAGGCTTGAAAGGCTGATGCCCTTTGTCATGCCTCTTTCATGCTGTCTGCTCTGCTTTGAATGTTCTTCTTCCTTTCTAAATGGCAAACTCCTCCTCATGCTTCAAGACCCAGCTCAGATGCCCTTCCTCTTGGAAGCGTTTCTCAGTTCCCCTTTGAGGCTGTTCCTCATCTCTCAGCTTCAAGCTGCAGAGCTCTCTGCTTACCTCCGTATGAACCCTGGCCACACTGCATTGCCTCTTTTATTTATACACTGTGATCACAGCACACCATGAACTCTGAGAGCAGGGACACTGTCTAACTCACTTCTGGGTCCCATCCCCAGCAGAGAACATGGCAGTACGTGCTCAATAGGGAACTAACAGGAGCCTGCAGGCCCTCGGTGAGATGCTTCCTATGGCAGTGGCGGTGGTGGGCAGGGCGAATCCACCTGCCCCTAGCAGTGTGAGAAGACACCAGAGCTTTGTATAAACTCGAGGTTTTAGGTTTGAACATCCCTGTGGCTAAAAGGACCAGAGTGAATGCTGGGGGCACTTAGGAGGCTGCAGAGGAGGAGGAATGATGTACACAAGAGGGGACAGCCAGAACAGCCTGTCCCCAGCCGGGGAGGGTGGGACCATCACGCTGCCCTAGGGAGGATATGTGTTATGACGGTGCATGGCTCACGGCCATGGTTCTTGGACCTGTGACCTTTGCATTAATCACCTTTGTCACCGGGGTGAATGGGATGTCCTGATGGGTGTGAATATGCTTGTCAGATGTCAAGCTCCAAACAGACTTGCTTTGCTGGGCATGAGGATACAGTTTACAAAGTCCCCTGTCCTCAGAACCTGCTCTGCACACATGTGTGTATGCGTATGTGTACACAGAGGCTCCACGGACATGTGTGTATGAGACACTGGTGACCCTGAAGCAGACAAGAACCTTTCAGATGGGCCACCTGTGACCCCCCTTCCCTCTACCCTAAGGGTTCTGGGCACCTGTCCAGGTGAGGAGCAGGATGAGAGGGGCCTCCCCCGGTGAACCTGGCTTACCTGGTGCAAGGCTGTGAGTCCATCCTCATTGCACAGATCAGGGCTGACCTTATTCTTCAGGAAGTAGCGCACTGTAACGGGAGGGGACAGGAGTGAGACACTGTCACACAAGGGGGATGTATCACGCGAGGCCCTGGCACGAGCGTTCTTGCTTAGTCTTGATAATGACCTCTGAGGTAAGCCATAACACCTTCCCCACTTTACAGATGAAGAAACTGAGGCACATAGGTTCTTTGGGCCAGGATTTCCAAGAAGCAGATGTCACCGCCTGCTGTCTCATGGGTAAGACTGACAAGTGCCTGTGCCACGCCCTGACCTCAGGGGTTACACTGGCTGTCCAGAGAGGGCACTGTCTAGTCCTTCAGATCTACCCCCTTGAGTCCAGTGACCCCATTCTCAGTGGCTGTGCAGTGTGCTCCAGCCAGTTCCCTCTCAGTGCCAGTTTTCTTATCTGCCACATGAGGCTGATGCTTGATCCTATCGAACAAAGGGTCCTAAGGCAGAAGCGACATAAGCCCCACCTGGGGCTCAGCACAGTGCCCGGCACCAGCTTCCCAGGAGACTCTGGCTATGGCAGCTGTGACTGTCTTTATAATACTGCAGGTCTCTGCAGATGGTGGCTCACCCTTGAGGTCAAATGCCCCTTTCTTGGCCCTGCTTAGCCCTGGGGGGTGGAGGAGAGGGGAGAGAGAGAGAGAGAGAGAGAGAGAGAAGGAGAAGGAGAGGGAGAGGGAGAGGGAGAGGGAGAGGGACAGGGAAAGGGAAAGGGAGAAGGAGAAGGAGAAGGAGGAAGAGAAGGAGGAGGAGGAGGAGAAGAAGGAGGAGAAGAAGGAGGAGGAGAAGGAAGAAGAGAAGGAGGAGGAGAAGGAAGAAGAGAAGGAGGAGGAGAAGGAGAAGGAGGAGGAGAAGGAAAGGAAGAGAAGGAAGGAGGGAGGGAGGGAAGGAGGGAGGGAGAGAGAGGTGTTAGTTCAGGGATTAGGTGAGCGGGACCTGAGGCTGAGAAAAGCCAGTGAGCTCCAATGACACCTTCCCATAGGACAAGCCCTCTCCCCCACCACTGTGACCTTCCTCCCCTCTCTTGTCCCCACTCGGGCCCTAGTTCTCTCCTGAACCCCAGTGCTGCCCCACAGGCTCCTCTCCACCCTTGGCAGTGGCCTTGTCCTTGCTCTGGCCCTGAGCTTCCTAAAGGCCACCTCTGGCCAGTCTCCAGCTGTGCTCTCCCCAGGGTAACTCGTGCATAGAGCTAACATTGCTCCCCCTCAGGGCCCCAGCTACTCTCCCTGTCCTGCAGGGCTTAACCAAGGTCCTGCCTGGATTCAGAGTCCCAAGGATGACCTGGGCAGGTAACTGGAAAGTGCACCTCTAGGCCACAGGGGTGAACAGGGTCAGCTGCCTGTGGGGCCAGCAGATGAACTTGGATCCGCAGGCTGGCTTGTGTGTGAGTGATGCCCTCAGGTCACAATGCTGATGCAGCTGGGCTGGAGGCCTGTGCCCTGCAAATGGAGAGCAGTTGGGTCTGGGCCCCTCCCAGCTCCTGTCAGCCTCCTGTCTGCCCTGCCAACCTGGCTTCCTCCGAAACAGGAGCCAAATCCATACTCCCAGATGCCCATGGTGGACACTGTCTCTGCACCATGGCTCATGCAGTGCCCAAGACTTTCCTCATCCCTGTGCACCTGTGGTAGGAAAGACATTAGGAGGGAAGGGCAGGGAGAAGGCCACCCACTGCTGGACAAAAGCCAGCCAGCAACCCCACGGTGCCAGGGAAAAGACACTGATGAGGGGTGGGGGATCCCACAGGGTTTCAGGGGCGGTGGGGGTCGGGGGAGAGCTCCCCAGCTCCATGGTCAGTATCTCAGGTTCCAAGCCCCAGCCCCAACTGTATCCTGGGCTGCCATGCAAAGAAGAGGGATGGACGTGTACTAACCCCTGTGACACGGAGCCTCATTCTCAGAGTGCTTGCTGCCATGCAAAGAAGAGGCAGGGCCCTACCCAGCCAGTGTGCTGCCTCCAGGAGACTTGCCCAAGACACATTGCTGCTGGTGGTCAGGAGAGACAGAACTTGGTCTTCTAGTATGAGACAGACCCTTTAGAAGGCCTACACGCTCCAATATGAGCCATAAGCTACCTCTGGCTATGGTGGCTAATAAACACTCAAAATCCAGTCTCTCAGTCACTCTGTGCTCAATGTGGCTACCATATTGGAAAGCACAGAAATAGAACATTTCTATCTCCACAAAAATTTCTGCTGGACAGTGTTGCTATAGGGCATTAAAATGGAAATTAACCCATCACAAACTGCTAATACCTTTCCCTGGTTCCCCATTGCTTGGGGTATAATGTCCCTCATCAGGGCATACCAGATCTTGCATGATGTGATTCCTGCCTGCAGCTCACCATCCTGTACAGTAGGGGACGTGGCATCCATACTGAGCTCTGTAAGACTAGCACCTCCTACACATGGGCAATACACAGTTTTCTCAACCATACACAGGGAGCCTATCTGCCTGCTCTCCAGTCTCACTTTCTAGACTGAAAATATTTTGTGCAAGTTTTCTGTCAGCCGTAGTCACCACACTTCCTCTGACCTCTAAGCTTTTTGGATAGCCCACTATTGCCTGGAGCACTCGATCAGCTGTCCATCCATGCATTCACCCACCACCCATCCATCCACTCATCCAGCCAACCACTATCATCTATGTACCCATCTCTAACATACATGCATGCACATACATATACACATGCACACACACAAATCTGCTTCGTTCCTTAGCTTTAGTTTCAGCTCAAATTCCCCCATACTCATACCTTCTATTCATATCATCTACAGCGTTATCACAATTATAATCACATAACTGTGTGGATGATTATGAGCTTTGGGTCTGTCTGCCCACTGACCACTAAGCCACAAGAAGGTAGGGTCACAATCTGGTACTTATAGCTCTGTCTCTAATGTCCCTAATTTATAGCCTATCTCCTCTTCTGGTATTTATGACTGTGCCCCTAAGGCCTGGCACACAGTAAGTCCTCAAGAACTTTTCCAGAACTTTGGCCCAACTGGCAATTCCCTGTCTCAGTTCAAAGACACAGCCTCTCCATCTCTGAGGGACACAGACCACCCCTCTGGGGCCAACTCCACAAGACTCCATCAATAGATAGAGCATTGTCCACAGGTCTGTCATACGCAATGTGGGTGACCTAGTAGCTGGTCCTAGATGCAGAGCTATGTTAGGAGATTATGCCAAAACCATCAATCACCAGACCTGGCCTGTCCATGGGCCAGGGGGTAGCCTGATCCCAACAGATGGCCTTTGGGGGAGTAGAAGTAGCCATTATGATCCTATCCAGAAACGCTCTGCTCCCATGAAGTAAGGGTGCACGTTGCACAGGGTGGGTAGTGGAAAGGCTTCCTGTTAAGACTCTCTTTGAGGCAGAAAATAAGCACCAGCTGCCAAAAGCAGTGTTTGTGCACAGCAATTATTGGGGTGATCTCTGTTACATGGAGCCCAAGCCATGTAATTACTCTGATGTTGGGCAGTTATTTTCAGCACAAGAAGTGGGACAAATCACCCTCTTCTCTAAGAAACCCTTAATATTCATGAGCCAAGGCCGCCTCAACAGTTATACTTCCCTGCTCTAGCGGGGAGGCCAGAGCCTGGCTGTAGGCCCAGCTCACTGGAGCAAAGTCCCTACCATGTAGCACATGACCAGGCTTTCCTACCTCTGGGGTCCAGCAAGAAAAAGGTTGCTCCTAGCAATAGTCTTCTTACTGTGCCTTTCCTATGCATCAGGTCAGTGCAGGAGTGGACACGGAGAGTCTGGAAGGTATAGTTCAAGGCACATATGGCCAAATGGAGGAGCTGGAATTTGGGACCACAGTTTTCTAATTTGCAAGCCTGGGATACTTCCCAGTGGATTGCTCTCATCCTCCCCTGAGACTAGGGATGGGAACTAGCATGTATGCAGCCCTGATAAGGGTCCAGATCTGAGATGAGAGCTAGCAAGGGAAGGAGGAAAAGGGGAAATGCGTGGTAGCAGCCTCTGCTCTGAGACCACCAGGACAACAGAGGCCCTGGGGCCCCTGGCTTACAGAGAGCAGGGCGCCAGAGTCCACAAAGAGGACAGAAGAAATCTTGGTACCTGGTAAGGGATAGAGGGGACACAGATCTTCCAGGACAAAAATGTCAACCAGCCTCTCTTTACTCTTGCTGAAAACCCTTTCATGGCTCCACATTGCTCTCAAGATGGAGTTCAGCATCCTTCTGTGGACTTCATTGGGACTGGCGAACTGGCGCATGGGCCAAATCTGTCAGGCAACCTATTTCAGTGAATAAAGTTTTACTGAACATATGCACACTCATTCACTTACATATCGCCCACAACTGCCTTCACCCTACAGCACAGGCTGTATGGCCTGCATAGCCTGGAATATTTACTATCTGGCCCATTTACAGAAAGCTTTACAGACCCATGATCTTTAAGGTCCTGTCTGGTTTGATCCCGCCTTACAGGGCTACCGCCTGGCACAAGGGACATGGTTCTCATCAGAGTCTATGTGAATGGACTGCCCTGGCACCCTGGGGACCCCACTGTGGTGGGCAGCTGAGAAGCAATGACCAGGACAGTGGGGTATGGTGACCTGCAAGGCACCCTCGACCCTGTCCCTGGGCACAGCACTGCCATTTCTGAGAGGAGCAGGTGGGGCTCAGAGAGCCTGTGACCTTGGCACAGCCGGTGCCAGGTAGAGGCCAGGACCCCGTGACACCAGGATCACAGTGGACCACAAGGTGGGGGCCCCAGCTAGGACCTGAGGTTTTCGTTCCCTTTGGTGGACTAGGGTCAGGCATGGCCTTGGTGTGGGGCATGGCCAGCCTTCTTTGAGGTGGCCCTAAAGAAGGGTGGTGCCCCCTCTAGGAGGTGTGATTCACACCTCTGGCTGGACTTTGCTACTTTCTCAAGCTCTTTCCCCCCACTCCTTTAAACTGCATTCTGAAAGCTCAAAAAAAAAACCAAAAAACAAAAAACAGCTGCAGTTACTGCAGTGTACAGCCTGATCAACCCCTCTCCCTACCTT